TTAAATTTTATAATATTCATTTATATCGTTTTATTTTGGCAAATTATTAACATTTTTTATTGTTGAGATTAATTTGCTTTTCAAAATAATCGTCATACATTACTGCAAGCACGAAGTATTTGTCAGTTTTTTAATTTATTATTTTTAATATTGTTAATATTTAATTACATTTATTAAAAATGTTTCTTGTGTTTCCTTAATTTTAAGGAATATGAAACATTTAAATATTAAATATTAATAATTATTTTAATTAATTATATTTAATATTTAAGTGTTTAATATTTTAAATGAAAAGAAGATATACAAAAAAATGGTAAATGTTTGATAAATGTATATACATTATATATAAATATGTATTATGACACTTTGAGAATTTCGATTTGATTAGTGGCAAAGAAAAATTAATACACCATATGAAAATATATTTTCCTTTTTCTAAAAGTATATAAAAGATTCATCATATAAAAGATTATTTTTACATTCTAATTTTTTGTTTGAAGAATATAAATCTTTTGCAGTAATTGAATAGTTAATTGATTTCCATTGCACTTTAGTTTTAATTCATAATTTTACACGTTTTGTTGAATTTTAATGATACTGTAGCAGTTTAAAAAAGTGAGTGAGTGAATTTTTAATAGATTCGTCCTAATAAAAGAATAAATATTATATAGGTAAGTGTATCGAATTTCTCTATTGAATTTCATATTTCTTTCATGTTTAGCTATATAATTATTACATGATAGGAAATGTCTAATTATCGATAATAATTAGATTGTCAGAATATTATCTGATAATCTAATTACAAAAGTTTTAAAATTATTATTATATATGAAGACCTCATACATGAAAACATCAATAGAATTAAAATTTATACTATACATTTCTCTTTATACCTAAATAAAATTAAGAATACTATCATAAGACAATAATATAAAGAGAAGCAAATGGATATTTCTGCAAACATATGTATCATTCCCTTATTTCAGAAGTGATATAAAAAATGATTTATCGAATTATTACTTTCATGAATGAGTTAAATATAAACATTATCCTATTAATTTATCAAAAGTAAACTTTAATTATAAAAATACTTTAAAAAAATTGTTGAAGCATAACATTAAAAAGGATGTATTTTAAGAGTTGAAAAACGCAAATGATAAAAATGACATTTAATGTAAAAATATATTCTTATTGATGAAATTATTTGGTCAATTTTCTGTTAAGTTGAAAAGCAGTTTTTTCTTCTTTTGAGAAATTTATTTTTTTAAATTATGTCACTTTTAAAATAAGAGAGCGATATATATAAATATACATGTATGTATGTTTAATAATTCTTTTTGTATTTTCACATTACAGAATGTCTTTTCCAAACAAAGAAGATCGCATAAAGTGCTGGGGTCGCAGGGACGAATATTGGCAATGTCTTGATGAAGGCAAATCTCAAATGGAATGTATAGAATTTAGGAAACAATATGAAAAATTCTGCCCATCTCAATGGGTAAGTATTAGACAGTGTTTTTCTCAACAACATTTCTAAAGATTTCTTGGTTTAATGTTTATTTTGTATATGTAATGTTTACTTTGTATATATTTGTATATTTTTAATACCGATAATAGGACCTTTTTTTTACTGTCTAACAAGTACTCTTCTATGCCACTTTTATGCAGGTGAAACATTTTGATCGTAAGCGAGAGTACTTGAAGTTCAAAGAGCAAATAGAGACGGGGGGGTATGTTCCTGAAGAACCAAAGAAAACATAAGATACTAATTTTTCGATTTTAATATATTCATAGCAAGTCATGATTGAACTATTAATATTTACTATTAAACAATTAATTTCATACATTATCCATTCGAATGTTTTTGGATTTTACATTGTTATTTTCACTTGTTGAATTATAATAAATAAGATGCTTAAAAATAACAAGACAATGGTTTTATTGCAACATTCTATTATCCTTAACCGGTATTTTACAGAAGCTCTGAAGTAATTCGTTCTCTCTTTCAAATTTCTACGTTTCCAAAATATAATCTCCAATGTACTAAACTCTAATTAAGTAGTTTCCATCAGGCTTTTATATTATACTTTAACTAATAATTTTTTTGAAAAAAGTTTTAAAATTTTGTTGCGCAGTTTTTTTGCGACTTTTAATCATAATTTGACTACCTTTATACATCAATTGCCTTTTCTCTTCTTCCTTCTCATTGAATCGATTCTGTTTACGAGAACGTGATTACTCTTCATTATTTTCAGAACTTATCTTGATGGTGGGATGCAAAGTTCTAAAAGATCAGATTTACCGAAGCAGGTCGATAAGAAAAGCCAAGCAGTTCTCGATTTTCAAATGGCAGATAAAAACTTACACAATTGAAGATATTATTTTAATATTACCCATATATTTAATATTATCCTATATTACGAAATAGAAATCTCGCAGAAAAAACAAACCAAACGAAATAGTCAAATTATAAATAATAGTTTTTATTGAATACAAAATACTGAACACTGATGCAAAAAAATGGAACCGCACAACGTGCTTAACAAATTGCAGAATTGCCAAAACGATATACCGATTTTCCGAGTAATATTTTCTTCATTATTTAATTAAAATGTTTCATTGCACAATTTGATTACAATGACTTGTCTACTTCTTTTCAGAAATTAATAAGTACCGCGCCCTTGCACGAATCTACGGACGAAAGAGTGAAAGAATGGCAAACAATTTTAGCGCACATTATAAAAATAATCAGTAACAATTTTGAATTGGGAAATGAACGCATTCTTTTAGCGTGCCATGCATTCTACGCGTTGCTTCCGACGCAATGCGACTCGCACGCTCTCAAAGACATTATAATTGGTTTCCAACAACTGGATTCGTGCAAGTTATATTTTCTCGAGAAGCAATACATCATTTCCGATCTCGAGCTCTTCAAGTTACTGAATGCTTATGGATATCTGCAGGTGAATCGAAAAGTTCTTGAGACGTGCTTTGAATATGACGCTCTCTTAATTATGTTTGATGTAATATGTAGAAATTGTATGAAATATACGAGATACACTTATTTCGCGTATAGAGTATTATCCGTGTGGTTGAAGAGATTAAGGAATACGACGGACGCGCGCTTTTGGGACAAACAGAATTGTATTTTAGAACAAAAATTGGAAGCAATTATATTCTCCAATTGGTCCAATGTGCTTAATAATTTATGCAAGCAGAATGCAGAAATTTTCAATATGTATCTCAGGATAATGTTACAGAAACATAAAAAAACATTCATAGATAATGTATATCAGATATGTCTTCAAGATATGTCGTGGCAAAACGAAACAAAATACATCATTTTAACGGAAATTTTACAAATACATGATATTAAAGTCCAAACTATACAGTGTTTTTTATTTGAATTATGCAATAGCTTAACAAAAATTTCTTTGCGTTGCGGTGGTACAAAGCTTTATATGACGATTTTAAGGAAATTAAACGAGGCCGAATGGAAGGAAATGTTCGGGAAAGTTATAAAATTCGTTATTGACCGCTGGGAGTCGGAAAAACAGTAAGTTTGTAGAATAATTCTCACAAAAAACTTATTTTTTCCTAATGATAAACGATAATCTTTTAATTTATTCCTTTTTGTTTAGGCAGAAAGTTATGTGAAACAATTATCTATAAAATTTTTTTATAATATATAAGAACAGTCTTGTGTAATTTTAAAGATTTCTTTTAATACGAAGAATGCATTCTAGAATTTAATACGATATAATTGAAAATTTTTTTACAGTATGGATCACAACGCTCTTCAATCGTTGTTTACATATTGGCTCGAACCAACTATTGAAATGTACAGAAACATTTTGCCATTTTTATGGGAATTGTGCAGTGATACGCAGGGATACTTTTTTCGTTCGCATCTGCAAAGAATGGCCGCTAAAATACACGTAGAGCTGCCGCAAACACACGAAATCGATTGTTACATAGACAACAAAGAAGAAATCATACGATTGAATGCTTTTGCAGTGCTTTGTTATCGTGCTGTCGAGCTGATCAACATTAACGAAGCAGATCCATTTTTTCTGATAAAACAATTTTTGTGGTTTAACGCCAATACCGCAACGATTCTTATGAGAGAAGGAATAATAAAATATTTCAGGATATTGTGCTCGAACATGTTGAAAGCGATCAGCGTTAAAACCGATTGTATACTATCTATTTCTGAATTTATGAATTGGCTGCACGAATACTTCTTGGATTGTTTCGAAATTGGCTCGTGCTATCAACGCAAAATTCTCGCTTTAAAATTATATGGGACCTTACTTTCTTTTACAAATAAAAATTTGTACAAGAACTACACCCGTCATAAAAAATGCCTTCATAATATTGTAGCGATCGATAAGTATTTGAAGACCACTGATAGTTCAAGTAGATTACTAAAAGGAATCTTCCTTGGAGGTTTAAGGAATCTTTGTAAGAAATTTATCAATAAGGAATCTTTGTTCTTGTTATTAAGACTCGTGTTAGATTCTGCAATTGATGTTAGACAACTAGCTAGCACCCTCATTCTGGAATATTTTGGAAAGGATGCTTTGTTAACTACAGAAAAACGCGTAAGAAGTTTGTCATACTTATGTGTTTCCTTAAATGTTTTATACTTTCGCATATACACATACGAGTAAGAAAAACTTGAAAGATACATTCCTTAATGTGAACTTTTTTAAAAATCAATAGATTTTAATATATAAAAATTGTAATAGAAATCTTTAGATTAAAACTTTACTAAATAAGAACAAATCTCTTATTCTAGATTGAATTTTACTTGATTTTATTTTACTTGACATTATTATAAAAAAAACTTAAATTATAATACTATATAGTACACTATAATGATATTTAATTATCAAAATATTTAAAGTATTAAAAATGTAAAAGTTATATTAAAATTAATTTTTTTATGAAAAAATACTAATTTAAAATTGAGCAAAAATCATGATTCTGAATTTTAAAAGTTCCTTTAAATTTTAGTTCCTTTTAATGGTAATATTATAATAAAAAAATTCTGACTTTAGATACTCTATAATTGTGCGTGGGAGCATTGCAATTCTTCGAAATTCTATAAAATTGAAAGCGGAGCAATTCTCGTAAAGATAATTGCACATTGGTTGCCTTTAAACAAGGTTTCTAACGAGGTTTCTAAAAACGCAGCTGCAATATTTTCCGACAATGAGCATAATAATATTCTCGTTTACTCGAGTTATTCAGAATTTCTATTGAATGAAGCTAAATGTCAATTGACAGAAATAAAAAGCGATATTTTAAAAGCCATTGTCAAAAATAGACCATTTTATGGCGTATTGACCGCTTTATTAGCAGTTGCTTTTCGCGATGGTCCAGAGAATTGGGTTTTAACGCCACAATTTACGGAGAAAATGCTCAGTCTTTTGAAAGACGCTGTTGAGTTTTTTTTATCCACGTTTTCTATCAAAGCATCAAATACAGGTATATATTCAATATTTATAATATTAAAAAGTCTGATCTATATTTTATTACTACCATCGATTACTATCATTAGCAAATATTAATAAAATATTAAGTTTCCAGTATTAGAACTTTATAATAATTCATCAGTAACTTATAATTATTAGTAGTAATAATAATTAGAAATTTTTATTGATGAATAAGATTGTAATTAAAATAGGTCACTTTTTCTTAACATATCTATATCAATATTTATTAATAGGAATTGTCTGATTTCTGTACAATAATTTTATGTTTAGTTTATTCCTCCTCGTTTGCGGAGATGGGATTGGCTATTGATGAAAAGATAAAAACCAGTGAAATAGAAGATTTTGATTATGACGAATTACAATTGTCACCTGCACATCAAGTACTTATCTCGTGTATTTGGATGTCCTTAAAGGTATATATTCGCTTATTTGCCATGATTAGTTTAATATTATTATATACGAGGGCTGTTTAATAAGTACCCGTGTTTGACGATTGAGAGCGACTAAAAATCTGTATCGTGTAACGCCATTTTTTGAACGACGCAAGTAAAAATTTCAGACAGCTGTATCGATTAGTTTTTATAACAATTGAAAGTTGACGAGTTTGTGCTTGTTCGCAATCATGGAAAAAGAGCAATATCGATCTGTGATTCGAGCCTTGTTTTTGGACGGGAAGACGTGTGAAGAAATCAAAGAAAAGTTGCATGCCGTATATAAGGACAACGCACCTTCGATGACTATCATAAGATATTGGTACAACGAATTTAAGCGTGGCCGAACATCCATTTTTGATGAAGAACGCCCAGGTCGTCCGATTGAAGTGACTACGGAGGATATGGTCAACAAAATCCATGATATCGTGTTAGCAGATCGCCGGGTGAAGATCAGAGAGATTGCTAATATTGTAAAGATCTCAACTGAACGCATATAAAATGTCCTACACGAAACATTGGATATGAAAAAGCTATCGACGAGATGGGTGCCGCGTTTGCTCACAGTGGAACAAAAATGGAATCGCATGACAACTTCAAAGCACTGTTTGTTTAAGCGCAATCCGAAAGAATTCTGCGGCGTTTCGTCACTGTTGACGAAACATGGATCCACCATTACACACCAGAAACGAAAGAACAGTCTAAACAGTGGACTAAATCCGGCGAATCTGCTCCAAAGAAAGCAAAAACGGTTCCATCGACCGGAAAGATTATGGCCACCGTTTTTTGGGATTCGCGAGGCATCATTTTCACCGACTATTTGGAGAAGAGAAGGACAATCACGGGACAGTACTATGCTAATTTATTGGACTGATTCGACGCTGAATTGAAGAAAAAACGGTCTCATTTAGCGAAAAAAAAGTGTTCTTTCACCATAATAACGCAGCACCACCTCATTCGTCCGCAATCGTCATGGCAAAACTGGTCGAATTACGCTACAAATTGTTGTCTCATCCACTCTATTCTCCAGATTTGGTCCCTTGCGATTTCTATTTATTTCCAAACATGAAAAAATGGCTTGGCGGAAAGCGCTTTGCATCAAATGAGGAAGTCATCGCCGAAACAGAGGCTTATTTTAAGAAGTTCGATCAATCATATTTTTTAAACGGTATAAAAATGTTGGAATATCGCTGGGCTAAATGTATTGAGCTGAAAGGAGATTATGTAGAGAAATAAAAAAAAAATTTTTTTTTAAAGTGTTTTTCCCTAACACGAGTATTTATCAAACAGCCCTAGATAAGATTATTGTGTGTGTGTGTGTGTGTGTGTGTGTGTGTGTGTGTGTGTGTGTGTGTGTGTGTGTGTGTGTGTGTGTGTGTGCGCGTGCGTGCGT